GGTAGAGACGAGTGTAACATTAAAATCCAAAATGTGCCACTCCTTTTGGCTCCATGTTTTAAATATCTTGGGACATTTGTCAAGATAGGAAGAGGAGTGAATTTGGAGGTGGAGCATAGAATTCAATGTAGATGGATGAATGGGAGGAAGCTGAGCAGTGTGTTATGCAACAAGAAAGTTAGCTGAAATCTGAAAGAAAAATTGTATAAATCAGTTGTTAGACCTGCAGTGTTATATGGAGCAGAGACATGGACAATAATAAGAGCTCAAGAAAGAAAGATGGAGGTGGCAAAGATGAGAATGTTGAGATGGATGTGTGGAGTGTCAAGGAAGGATAGAATAAGGAATGATTTTATTAGAGGTTCTGTTAAGGTTGGCCCCTTGAGCAAAAAGATGCAAGAATGCAGGTTGAGGTGGTTTGGCCACAGAGTGAAGAAGTGACAATAATGTTGGAAAGAAGATCAGAAAACTAGTAATAAAAGGATAGAGGAAAAGAGAAAAACCAAAAATGCATTGGAAAGATAAGGTGGAAGAAGACTTGAACTATAGTGGACTTAAGAGAGAAGAAGTCCTTGATAGGGAGAAATGGAAGAAACATATTAGAGAAGGAAATGTCAACCCTATATAAACATGGGAAAAGGCAAGGATAAAGAAAAGAGAAATTTGATTATAGCCATATTACAGCCCGAATATTTAGGCAATTGTTGGATTATTATATTAACTCATTGGGCTTCGAGATATGTATTATATGTGGTTAAATTTTTATACATTTTGATTTTTTAATGAAATGTTCGAACCATTCTAAATTCAAATTTGTTATTGCATATTCATTCGAATATAGAACGATTCAGAGAATTGCTAACCTGACGATGGCCTGTTGATCAGGTTGTAAACATTCGTTTAAAGCATTAAAATAGATTCTCAGCAGTGAGGTGAATATGTTATATAATATTCAATGACTCTGAGTATATGTTGAAAAATAATGATAATGATGATGATAATAAGCACAAAGCCCAAATGGTTAGGAGTTGAAAGTTGGTACACAATTAGTGTATGTTCTCACGATGTATTCTAAGAAGAGATTTTTGAAATTCCCTCCACAGAGGAGAAGGAATGGATTAAGGTTTATTCTGAAGAACTCTGTTTCTACTGTCCTATTTTAAATGTTGTTTTTTCATTTTTGACTGCATTTTAGTAGGGTGTGTCATGAGAATGCACATTAAGAAAGGATATTTGGAAATTCCACCACCCCCCAAAGAAAGAGGCGGAGAGAGTTAATTTTAGTCAGTATAAAGTGTAGATAACAAGCAGTGAAGTAAATAGTGGCACATATAGTATACACTTTGACAATTAATAAATATTTTTAATCATTTCCACTTTGAGGGTATCCCAAAAACAACAAATCCAAAATAAACAAATTTGAACAAATATTTGAAATTAGATATCCAATATTGCTTGAATGAATATTTGAAATTAGATATCCAATATTATTCGAACAAATATTTGAATTCGTCCCAAATTCAAAAATTTGAAAAATTCAAAATATTGAATTCAAAATATTATATTCCAAAGTTATTTTTTTTAATTTTAGAATTTAAAATTAATCACTTCATTCAAGTAGGGTTATCATCAAGTAAATTCTCCATTATAATGAAAAATGTATTGGTTTTTTTTTTTATTCTACAGTTTATTTCATCTCTTCGTAGACTGTATATCGTATAATTACACTACTCACAAGCCTTATATAATACTTTAAGCTCTTGTTTAAAAAGCGTTCCAAAACGCATTTATCGTTTTTATGAATTCGCCAATATTCGATTTTCGTTGGTTCGTTCTTGAAAAAGGGCATTAAAGATGTCCGAAAACGTTTGAAGTGTTATAATAAATTTGGCTGTATTATATAAGGCTTGTGAGTAGTGTGTTTATTTCATCTTTTATTTTTTAGGTTACTTAAATAAAAAATCTTTTCATATACTAAAGATTTATTCAGTTAATATTCAATAATGATTTTAATCATTTTTTTCTATTAGATATCCGATAAATAGAATAGTGAAAACAAAATTTCTCATAAATTTGACCCTGATCTTATAATCGAGATGGGTTAATAATAATAATAATAATATCAGGTGCAGAGCCCAAACGGTTAGGAGTTGAAAATTGAAATTTGGTACAGAGGGTATATCGTGAGAATGTACACAAAGAAGGAATTTTCCAAAATTCTCCCTCCCCGCAGGGGAGAGGGAGAGGGTTAAGGATTACCCTAAATTTTGATTTTACTGTACTATTTTAGATGAGGTTTTTTGCAGGAAATCAAACATATTTTAAGACCCATCTAAAAAGTCTCTAATTAGTCTCGGAAGAGGGTGAACCTAACTCTTGAACCCAGTATAAACAGGCAAGATCTAAAAATATACACACAATCAAAACCCCAATATTAAGCAAATATACTCCCACAACTGCCATAAATGATCAGGCTAAATTTTGATATAGTGATTATAAATTAGAAATGAATGGTGTTAGGTGCAATCTTGTATTGAAATTAATAATTATAATACTTAATTAATAAATTTAAATTAAACTGGAAGAAAAGAATCAACCCGAAGCAGGACTCAAACCCGCAACTCCCACATACTATGTGGATGCGTTGCCAGTTACGCTACCCAAACCTTCGGTACGATCTCCTCTTCCAGTATATATATATATATACTGGAAGAAATATATACACAGTGCGGCAATTAAATTCCAGGACAAGCTATATCTCAGCAACCAGTAGCTACATCTGTTTAAATTTTATGTCGTATGAAGTTTGAACAGATGTCGCTACTAACCTAAAACTTTTATTTAAATCGGTTGACATTTATCATTGTTTTTGATATTTTGTTTATCAGTTTATTTTGTTACATGTCAGCAAACAATAATGGAACAACGTGCTGTTATTAAATTTCACGCTAAACTTGGCACAAGTGCCACAGAAACGTTCAAAATGATGCAGAAAGTATATGGAAGTGAGTGTTTATCATCACCTCAAGCCAAGAAAACACGAAAAGTTCCATAGAAAATCAAGACGATGTTCATTGTTTTCTTCGACAGCAAAGGCATCATCCACCGTGAGTTCGTCCCACAGGGTCAAACAGTTACTGCTGCTTTCTACTTGGGAGTTTTACAACAATTAATGGGAAGAATTCGTCGAATTCGACCATAATATCGCAATTCTGATGACTGGTGTTTGTTACACGATAATGCACCGAGTCACACATCATTGATTGTTCGTCAATTTTTCGCATGAAATCAAGTCTGTGTGTTGAATCATTCGCCGTATTCCCCCGATTTAGCACCATGTGACTTCTCTTTATTTCCAAAAATGAAAATGAAGTTGAAAGGATGCATTTTTAATGATATTGAAACCATCCAAAGAGAGTCTATGCACATATTAGAGGCAATACCGAAAATTGAGTTTGAGCAGGCATTTGAATTACTATTGAATCACTGTAAAAAGTATATTGAAGCAGGAGGAGAGTATTTTGAATAATTTAATAAGAAGATTTGAATAAAATTGTTTTGTTTCATTTTTATAGATCCAGTCCCGGAATATAATTGCCGCACTGTGTATACTGAAATATAAATAATTATTAATTTTAATACGAGATGGCACCTAACACCTCACTCTAGTGCCAAATTCATTTCTAATTTATAATCATCATATCAAAATTTAGCCCAATCATTTACGGCAGTTGTGGGAGTATATTTACAGGTAAGGTTGGCTATAATCTAATAATAATCTTACTCTTCACTATCGTTACTTTTAGCCTGAGCAACACAGGGTTCATCTGCTAGTATATATACAGATATACAGCAGAACATCGATTATCCAAATACCTATCAACCAAAACATCGGTTAACCGAAAGCATTCCAGTTGGCAAATTCAAATTTCTGCTAGTGCTGTGGCACTGCAATATTTGGCTATGTCTTGGGCTACTCCAATATTATTTTTGTTGATGTGCATGTTTTAGCTGGCAACACTGGTGTGACCATATTGTATCATTAAAAATTATTTCTTTATTCTGCACAAACAAAATAAATATATTGAAAAATATAAAAACAAAAAATATATTTTCGAAGTTAATCTAGTATCAAAAACGTTCCAATTCATACACGTCGAGAGGGTACTTAAGGATGCTGCCAGTATTTGAGTAAGGCTTTTTTTTTCCCCATCGTGAGCTGTATTCTAGGACCTTGCATCGTAAGTGGTTTGCTTCAGCTTGTCGTAGACTATAGCCCAAGCAACTGACATCTCCAGATAAACCCACGAAAAAGAAAGAGTTTCGCTTGTTTTGTGTGGTGTTTTTCTGAGGACTGTGTGTCGTATCAAAAACATTTCGATTCAGCACTAGATTAACTTTCAAAATATAATTTTTCTTTTGTTTTTATATTTTTCAATATATTTATTTTGTTTGTGCAGAATAAAGAAATAATTTTTAATGATACAATAGCCATGATTATTATTTTTAAAAATTTTCATTAGGCTTAATATTGATGAAAATCCAATGCAAAGCGACATGCAACAGAAAAAAATTTCAACAGTGGATAGGTTAATTTTTTCATACATGATCAGTTATCCGAACAACCCCAGTCCAGAATTGCTTCAGATAATCAATGCTCTACTGTATATATAATTTAAAGAAACAGGCAGTTTTACATGCATGGAAATTTATTTTAAAGTAACTTAACAAGTTCCTTGATATTCAAGTAACAACGCAATCACATATTTGGCAAACTTTAATAATTATTTGATCATCTGATATGTAATAAAGTATGCACAAATTATACATTAATGTCAAGTAAAAATTTCTTATCTGAATTGAAAACTGAAACACAAAAATTCATTTAACTATAATGTATCAGTTGATATTAATTTAAAAAAGTAGAAAAAGTCTGTTTAACATTCCAACATTTTAAAGTGTTTGCAATTGATTACATACTGTAACTTAAAATAACTTACCCTTGTTCTTTCATTAATTCTTCCATTTCAACACACTTCAGTTCCATCTCTCTTTTTCTTTGATGTGCAAGAATATCTTTATTTGGTACCTTATTTATTGATGCATCTAATAGTTTTAACTCTTCTTCCGTACGATAATTCACTTTCTCTTTGCTTTTCCTTATAAAAGATAGATTCCGCTGTACGTAACCATTTGTACCACTTCCACGTGGTGTTGCTAAACCAATACCATTATACATGATGACTCATAAGGATTTGAAACGTATAACCTACATTGAATAAAATAATAAGAATAAGTATTCTTTCACAAATAACGTTTTTATCTTATTTTTAAATCAAATAATACATAATTATTACTTGTTTTTAGTAGTATTAAGAAAAGTTCTTATTTGTTTAAAATAAAAACTCTTTTCCTTAAGTAAATGTTTTGTTAACCATTGGTTTTTAAATTTTATTTCAAACAGTTAACAAAATCATATTATCTATTCTTATTAGTGTAATAAAAAATCATCTCAATCAACGAGATCAACTAAAATGTTTAAATAACTTATCAGGAAGTTTGTTAAGTGAAAACGAGAGATTGCTAGTAATAGCAAAATTTCTAGTGTACAGTGAAAATTTTGCCACATTGTGATATTTTTATCATTCTGGCAAAATAAACCAGTGACCAGTGAAATGAAGTGGCAATGATACAATTCACAAATTAACAAATATAAAAAATGTGTATTCCTTTATTTAAAAAGTTTGTTTGCTCAATGCTCCATTCTACAAAAATATTTTTGCCTGATAATTTGCTTGTTTGTTTTTTTAGTTGCGGCAACGCAACACTTGGACGATCTGCCTACAGGGGGATGCCTTCCAGGAGGTCTTTTTAAAGGAAACTGGCCCCTATTTAGGCATTACAGATGTGGAGAAAACCCAGAAAACTCCACATGGCCAGCTCATCCGAGCGAGGTGAAAACCCACGACCAAACTCCCAGTGTTCAGGGTATGAAGACTGCTGGGCCACTGTTGGGCCAAGATAGTAATGCACTGTTGAAAGTACTTAGGTATATATTTTATCTTCATTAAAAAGTTTTGATCAGAGTCTATACTTAGGTATATATTTTATCCTCATTAAAGAGTTTTGATCTATGAAGTTATTTAAAAATCTACATACTCTGGCCTTACCATCCAACTCTGATTAAAACACCAAAATTCAATGACTCCTGACTGCACAGCCCCGAGTTTTATACACATAACAAGTTGAGAAAGTAAAAAGGAGTCAAAGTAGGCAGATATTTGACAATTCTGACTCCACATCCCTAGTTTTTATGCCAAAAAACAATATACAGTAAAACCTGTCTATGGAGACCACTCACGGTTCCTTTAAAAAATGGTCGTTTAGACAGGTAATCGTCCAATACAGGTGGTGCTGTAATACCGTATTTCCATACGTATTTTGCGCACTTTTTAGCCATTTCTACTAAGCAAAGCTCGAGGTGAGCAAAAATAAGCGAATTTTTTTCAATGATAGGGCTATATTGGTATTGTATTTTATTCTTATCGGATAACCTGATTTACAGGAGTCGTCATGATACTTTAAAGAATACTTTAAAGATTAATACAATACAGTAGAGCCTCGAAAACTTGGCCTAATGTGGACCAAAGGGTTGCCGAGTTTGTGAAAATGCCGGGTTATCAGGAATGGGGTTAAAAAAAAATAAGTATGAGTGTTTCCTCAGAAAATACTGTACTGTACTTGTATGTATTGTTTACTTGAGAAGACAACAGAGAATAAACTGCCCAAATACTCTTAAATAAAGGAAAAGTACGTCCTTTATGAAGGCATAGAGCCTTTACTACATGAAAATGAAAATTAATGAATATGCTGTGTACAGTAATTTACCTGATAAGACAGACCTCAGAAAAATACTTTATGAGAGCTTTTATACTTTTATAAAGCTGTCTATAATGAAAATTAATTAACTAAGGATTTTTT